CAGCTTCTACAGTAATGTGCTCCAACACAGAGACACTACATACTGATATACACCTGAACATCAGCAGGAGAGGACTCTTTAAAGTAGAGACACTACATACTGATATACACCTGAACATCAGCAGGAGAGGACTCTTTAAAGTAGAGACAATACATACTGATATACACCTGAACATCAGCAGGAGAGGACTCTTTAAAGTAGAGACACGACATACTGATATACACCTGAACATCAGCAGGAGAGGACTCTTTAAAATAGAGACACTACGTACTGATATACACCTGAACATCAGCAGGAGAGGACTCTTTAAAATAGAGTCACTACATACTGATATACACCTGAACAACAGCAGGAGAGGACTCTTTAAAGTAGAGACACTACATACTGATATACACCTGAACATCAGCAGGAGAGGACTCTTTAAAGTAGAGACACTACATACTGATATACACCTGGACATCAGCAGGAGAGGATTCTTTAAAGTAGAGACACTACATACTGATATACACCTGAACATCAGCAGGAGAGGACTCTTTAAAGTAGAGACACTACATACTGATATACACCTGAACATCAGCAGGAGAGGACTCTTTAAAGTAGAGACACTACATACTGATATACACCTGAACATCAGCAGGAGAGGACTCTTTAAAGTAGAGACACTACATACTGATATACACCTGGACATCAGCAGGAGAGGATTCTTTAAAGTAGAGACACTACATACTGATATACACCTGAACATCAGCAGGAGAGGACTCTTTAAAGTAGATACACTACATACTGATATACACCTGAACATCAGCAGGAGAGGACTCTTTAAAGTAGAGACAATACATACTGATATACACCTGAACATCAGCAGGAGAGGACTCTTTAAAGTAGAGACAATACATACTGATATACACCTGAACATCAGCAGGAGAGGACTCTTTAAAGTAGAGACACTACATACTGATATACACCTGAACATCAGCAGGAGAGGACTCTTTAAAGTAGAGACAATACATACTGATATACACCTGAACATCAGCAGGAGAGGACTCTTTAAAGTAGAGACACTACATACTGATATACACCTGAACATCAACAGGAGAGGACTCTTTAAAGTAGAGACACTACATACTGATATACACCTGAACATCAGCAGGAGAGGACTCTTTAAAGCAGAGACACTACATACTGATATACACCTGAACATCAGCAGGAGAGGACTCTTTAAAATAGAGACACTACATACTGATATACTTGATATCTTCACAGCAAAATCTATGCAAAGGGAGGTTTTTGATTGATTTGCATATTTTTCCCAGTTGTTTTATTATTTTAATCTTATTAAAATGTTTATTTTAAATATTCTGTTGCTTTTTTATTTATATTATTCATTTTGTATATTTTTTTAAATGACAATTGTTCACACATTTTCTGCACTTTTCAAATGAAATGTGTTTTTTTCATATCCATGTCCTGTGCACCTCAGTTCCCACCAATCAGCAGGTGTCAAATGTTAATGACTGTTTCCATGGCTACGGTCACACAGCGGTGACCTTCCCCCGCTCGGGTTAATGATTCAGAGACCTGACCAATCAGAGAGTCAGATCCCAGCAACCTGTCCCTCAGAGAGGTGCACGGTGAAAGGTGCAATAAACACAAATCAGTGTGAGCTGACGGGAACAAAAGAGACACCTGTGACTTTATCATTTTGTTCATTTCTATCAAATGTTGTCCTTCTGGTTTCACTATTTTTAAAGCATACAGCATAACTAATCACCAAATCTATGTTTCACCTTTTTAAAGCAACTCTATTCCTACTTATTACCACAAGTTTGACTCTACTTTTTGAAAATGTATGATCAATAGACCTCATCTACACAAAATCCAACCTAATTTCTGAGTTAAACATTTACTACATTGCCCCCAGAATACCAGATGCAGTACATTTGAATACAACCCAAACCCTAATGTAAGTGATCATGTGTTCTCTTGGGAAAACGTTGCAGTACAAGCAGCCATAAAAACAAACCTTTATCCCAACATAAAAACATGTACAAAGTTAAAGTAAGAACCTTTAAAAACTAAAACTGTAAATCTTGACGAGGATATCTGTCTAATATCTATTCAGAATATGCCTTTACACTCGATATAAGGCCTGATAACTTAAGAAGTGACGATGCAGTGAGATATAAGGTCTTGTTTTTAGACATCTTGTTAAGTCAAAGACTCTTAAAAACATATTTTGTCGTATCTCAGATGATTTTACATTTCTATTGGAAAAACACCGACTAATGAATCATCAGAAAGCAGAACACTATTGAGTATTACTGGCTTACTTCTTAACACAACATCTCCTGATCCTGGTCAAATGAAGCTCAGCGCAAGACTGGGTACATATATACATTCACTCCGCAGCTGCTTATAATCAGCTCATCACGGGCGTCTCTTTAAACTATTACATTTCACCTCAATCTCCAGCAGCCAATCACTGTGCTGCAGCCAAACTTTAAAATGGTTCTCCTCTCTCCTGCTGTCAGCGTGATTTCAGGTGTTCATGCTGCCGCCCGCCTCCTCCCCATCCACCTCCTTTCATCTTATCCAGTGCCAGGAGAGCCAATCCAAAGACCTCATCACACCTCCTCTTCATCCCATCTCCTCATCAAATCCAGATCTTCAGCATCATCACCAGTGTCTAGACCCTGGGGGGGTTCCCTATATGCTCACAGCTGCATTTCCCCCTTTAGATATAGGATTTCAGGATCGGGGTCTAATCGCCAAAGACTTAACATTTATCATATGGCATGTGTCAATAAATGTTCTTTAAACCAAATGAAGTCTCTCCTGATTGAAATACAGTTCAAAATAAGTTTTCCCAGCTAATTACAAGATGTTATTTATATAAATATCCCACCTTATTTCAGGAAATCTTACCAAGCAAATGTTCACTTATTCTACTGGCAGATTTGTTTGACTTATTCCAAGCGAGAACACCTTGTTTTCATTATTAGTTACTTGTTTTTGGAGCAGCATTTTTTCCAGTCAGGGAACCAAGAAAAAAAGTTTCTTTCTATTTCCCTTTTTTTGGTGATTTCCTGCCGATTCAGGGTTAAATAAAACATCTTGCAATTTAGACTTGTTGTAATTGAAATGTTACAGTATGTCCACAGTAGAGGACTTGAGGACCATTTTAGTGTGAAGAGACATTCACTAAAAAAATAGTTTTCTGCGTAGCTGCTTTCAAAATAAAGTCTGACTGGTTTCGGTTCTGATCAGAAGTTTCAAAATAAACCTGTTATTGACCACAGATGCCCAAACTATGCTGCAACTCAACAACAACAACAACAACAACACACTAAGATGTCTGTATCATTTAATCACGTATCACAACAATTTATAGGAAAATACTATGATAATAATATAAAGGTATTGTATTGTTGTTTTCTGCTCAGCTCAGAGTCTGCCATACTCTCTGTATGTTTGTTATGTAATATGAACACACACGCACACACACACACACACACACACACACACACACACACACACACACACACACACACACACACACACACACACACACACACACACACACACACACACACACACACACACACACACACACACACACACACACACACACACCAACACAGCTTCATCCTCCTCCTCTTCCTCTCACCCTCTTCTGCAACAGTCATGTCACAGACTGCATCTCAGATCAGCGGGGAATATTACATTTCAGCTATTTATAAACTCTGTGCATGAGAGATAATAAACACACACACACACACACACACACAGGCAGAAACACACACTAACACACTTTACATTTCCGATCAATAGCTGCTTCTGTTCTGAGCATATAACTGGATATTGGAGTGTGTGTGTGTGTGTGTGTGTGTGTGTGTGTGTGTGTGTGTGTGTGTGTGTGTGTGTGTGTGTGTGTGTGTGTGTGTGTAAGATCATTTTTCATTTCTTTGCATTAATGTCATCACTCATCACAGTGTTTCCTGTTGTTGTTTACAAGCTTGTGTACACAACTACAATTATTTGTATTTTATTTCATAGTTGGTACTGTTCCTAATGTTTTCATAAACTGACTCCCAATCATTTGTATTTTATTTAATCTTATGTATTGATTTATTTATATACATTTTCACATAATTATTATAATTATTACTTATTAAAGTACTTCTATATTTGATGTACATTTAATTTGGATATTTATGATTCATTTATATACACTGTATTGTATATTTTCTGGTACTGTCATTTTGTAATTCATGAATTAACTTAGTATAATATTCTTTTTGATTTTACCTATAACATTATTTATACATGTATCTATTTTAATTTGTATATTTTCTGGTACAGTGTAAATGTTATTTGTCATTCTTAATAATAAAAACATATATAAGATGTATTTTATTAATGTGTATATAGTTTTTATTCCTAATTGATTATTTCAATTATTTAATGTATGTAAATCTTCAAATAAATAAATGTTATTTTTAATTCATATATCGTATTTATAGGCCTAAAACATAATTGTATACACATTTTCTGCATTGTATTACCTATATTTTTCTGCATCAAATATTTGTATCTTTACTAAGATATTATTAATTATTATTGTATTCTTTTTTTTCTGATATAATAAATCCACATTTTCCTGTATCAGCCTCGTCCTGCACTTCACATGTTGACAGGGTCTCCTTTGCACGCAGCAGCCCCTTAAATCCTGCTCCTGGTTTATTTCCCTAATATTCCTGTGTTATTTCGCTGATATTCCTGTCTTATTCCTGGTTTATTTGCACAGTTTATTCCAGCAGAAATCCCAGGATCACCGTGTTTGTTTTTCCAGGTGAAGCTACAAATATTGACACAGAGCAGAAACAGAAATGGTCTCCTCGGGTCGTTGTTTTCTGCAGAAATGGCTTCGAGGAAGGGGATAGAAACACTAACAAAAACGCAGCTAATTATTAAACATAATTCTCCTTTAATCCACTCACCGATTCTCCTGTCAGCAGCAGTGGAGAAGCAGCTCAAGGAAACGAGGAAGAGGAGGCGGAGGAAGGAAAAAGGCTCCATGTCTCCTCTGGGTTTTTTTATTCTCTCAAGGTGTTTAAAGGGCCATTTTATTTTCTCTCTCCTCCACCGAGGTTTGGTTGGTTTCCCGGCCGCCTCAGAGTGTCTGCTCGGCGGATAGAGGAGCAGAGGAGAGCCGGGGATGGATGGATGTTGGAGGAGAGGAGAGAGGAGGCAGGGCGTTTCTGCTTCAGGAGAATCAGACCCAACTGCGTCAAGGCAGGTTTGGTTGGATAAGGTACTTCCGGGGAAGGTTTTCAAAATAAAAGTCTGGAAAATTGGGTTGTTGCATTTTCCAAAATAAAAATAAAATAAAATAAGATAGACAAGATGGACCTTTATTAATCCCCGTGGGGAAATTCAGTAGTTTAACAGCAACAGGGTAAGAAGAATGAAAAACAGCAGATTCACACAGATTAATACAATCAAAGATAACAATTAAAAATGATAAAATAACTATAAAATAATAAATGAATTAAAATGAACATAGATATATTTACATGTGTGTGTGAAAACAGTGATTACTGATGAATCACACGAATAAATGCACTGTTTAAGGAAAGATGAGTCATCTCACATCTTGAAAATAGAAACACAATTGATTACAAACTCAACCTGTTAGCTTTTCTTTTTTATGACTTTTCTTTTAATGTGTTTTATTTCCTTCTTCAAACTTTCATTTATGCATTCAACACATTGAGACTTAGTAACACATTGAAGACATTTAGAATAAAATATCTACAATGAAAGAAGCTCTGGTGCTTTCTCTCTCTCATGCTTTACAAGAGAAACAACAATATACAGATAAATCAATAACGATAATCAACAAATATTTAGAGCAAAGTTTACATTTCCATGCAGAGAAATATGAGTTGAGGTTAACAGAAATCCTCCTGAGCAGTGACAGCCTCCATGGCTAAACAGACACAGGAAGGAGCGCCGCCTAAAGAAACTCCAACATCTACAGAACAACTCATGAGAAGAGGTTAAAGCACATCCCATAATGTTTGATTGACAGCTGATCTCTGTGCAGTGAAGACATGAACAATCAGCTCTCAGCAACAATGATGGACACACAATGAGTTTAAGAAGTAGAAGAGTTCCTCAAATGACTTCAGGCTATTTCAGTTTACAAAACTCAGCTGTGTCTCCATGACCATCAAGATAAACTCCAGCATGTAGCGGCTGAGTGAATGTGGTCTGGACTCTGTGGAGGAGAGTCATGGTTTCAGAGACGCTGTAGAAGGACAGAATACCTGCTCTGTGATCCAGGTACACTCCTACTCTGGAGGACTGAGGACCTGAGACGGGAGTGAGGATACTGTTGTAACTAAATGAATATCTGTTTTGGTCACACTCTAAGGACAAGGATTTGTCATTGTATCCAAATACACGTTCAAGCCCACTCCCTGCTCTGCTGATATTCTTGTATGCGACTGCTACATGAACTTTTACCCCTCTCCACTCCACCTCCCAGTAACAACGTCCAGTCAGACTCTCTCTACTCAGGACCTGAGAATATACAGTGAATCTGTCTGGGTGACTAGAATAAGACTGATGTTGTTTCATGAATGTTGCTTTTCTGCTCCCCTCAGATAATAACAGCTCTGTGTATGTTGTGTTTGGATCCAGTGTGATTCCCTGTGAATATTGTAAGAACCCAGCTCTGGTGGTGGGCTCTGCAGCTGACACCGTGTCGTGGCCTTTATGTTCCTCCACAGAGCAGAGATAACAGATACACTGCTGATCAGTGCGGCAGAACATCATCACCTCGTCGTGACGAGAGCAGATGTTCTCCTGGAGCTTCTTGGAGGGCTCCACCAGCTTGTGTTTTTTAAAGGCAGGCAATTCATAATGAGGCTGGAGGTGTTTGTCACAATAAGAGATCAAACACTGCAGACAGGACTTACAGGCTCTGAGTTTTCTCCCAGTGCAGACATCACAGGCCACATCTTCAGCTCCAGCATAGCAGTGATCAGCAGGAGCAGCTTGGAGTCCAGTCTTCTTCAGCACCTCCATTAAATCTGCTAACATGGTGCTTTTCAGCAGGACAGGCCTCGGTTTGAAGATCTTTCTACACTGAGGGCAGCTGTGGCTTAGCTCTCCATCCCAGTGGTGTTTGATACAGTCCATGCAGTAGCTGTGTCCACAGGGAATAGTGACCGGATCCTTCAGTAGATCCAGACAGATCGAACAAGAGAAGGTGTCCCGGTCCAGCTGAACTCCTCCATGTGCCATCTCACCTCTCAGTGATAGTTACGGACTGCAGACAGAAGGTAAAATATCCACTTTCTCTGAACAGAAACAATCTCTGACGGACGACAAATCTTCTCTCCTCCTGCTGCTTTTGCTCACTCAATGCAGAGAATGAGGAAACAGCTTTCTCATTTAACCTGTTACTCGTTGCAACCTGAGAAGGGGAGGTGTTAGAAATTACACCTACAAGCTTTGTCATAGCAGCTGATACCCCCTCTGTGACTGTATGCAAAACCATCTCACCCTAAAATAGCATCTGTTAATCACACATACATTTAAGATTCACTCAGAGAGATGATCTAATCAGAGAAACTAAGACAATGAGAAAGAGCTTTGGCAAATCGCCAACATTCCATTTCCACTATAAAAGAACAATGGAGACAAAATCATTTGCTGACATATTGTGAGCTTGCAGATCAGCTATTTTCGCTACTTTTGCACGAGACAACATTTGTCAAACAAAAAAAACATGTTTAAATATAGAGATAAAACATTTCTCTTCCCGGCAGAAACTATATACAGACACAAACATAACAAGGTAAATAAATAAATGAAGTAAATTAAATAAGTAAATAAAATCACGTAAAGTAATAAAAATAAATGAATTAACAGGACTAGTAGGTACAGTGTAAACGTGTGTCAATGTTTTGACACAATTAAAGTGTGTGCCTACTGTGTTTTACAATCATGTTTTGTGTCATTCATATTTTTAGAGAGCAGCTGTCAACTTGTTTGACACAATCACATCACTAAAAGGCTACTTCTCTCTCTGTGTACTTTTAGGCCTAAGCTGCAATTGATGTCCTCAAAATTTGACATTTGAGGATTCATGTCCATCAATTTCATATACTGCCTGTTGGATAAACTCCCAGGTAGGGAGACACTGCTTTGTGTAATTGATGTCAAACACAAAGAAAGCCTTAAAACAAAGATCTACTGCACCCAGCAAAGTGTCCGTTTCAATGGCGTTGTCTGACACAATGCTGAAGGTCTGGCATGTTGTCATGTCATCACCAAGACACAAGATGTGCGGGAAGGGTTGAGTTCTCTCTGCTGTCTGTAGGTACTGTACCATGTTGGTCCCCACCTGTTAATTACACAACAGTTACTTGCAATATAACCTGCCATTTAAGTTAAGCATGTTGTTTTTATTATCTTTTTTATGGAAGTATGAAAATGCTAGTATATAAACACAGAAACACCCACCATTATTGAAGTAGAAAAACAAAAGTAAAACTTACTGGTTGGATATTAATGAAGGACTTGCGGGACTCCTCTATGGTGGGTCTGTGGACTTTTCCTCCAATCTTGTAGACCGATGGAGGAAGCAGAGTCGGCAGGACTTTCAAAGCTCGGTCTACGCAATATAAGAATAATACATATTAACATCAACATTTAAATAGTATATAAAGATTGATATTTCTGAAGCAATATTGACTTTTCTGCCCTGGTGTTGAATGGTAAAAACAAGGCGTGAATTGTATAGCCTATTATAATCACAGGAAGTGTTGTGACATCTTATCAGAATCTGAATCTTTGTCACATCACAGGTTTACAGGTGTAAAACAGTGGGTGAAATTTGTTTTTGTGCAAGCTCCATCGTTTTGATTGTTTCCAGAAAGAGAAAGAAAAGGAAGGGGGGGAGCAGGAATCAAAGAAAGACAACAAGGTATCTAATGAAGTGGTTCACAAACTTGTTCATGTATTTATGTATTTGTCCAAAGACTCCCATCCGAAAACATGTTGTGCAAGGGATCCCATACAAGATGATTGTTAAAATATTAAAAAAATTGCAGATCTACAAGCTCACAATGAGTCTCATTGGGACGCAATGCAAGCTTGTAGATCTGCTATTTTCAAAGAACCGGTGTGTGTGTGTTACATACAGGGTTCTTACACCTTTTCCAAAGTCAAATTCAAGCACTTTTCCAGCATTTTCAAGGTGCATTTTCAAGCTTTTCAAGCATCTTACAGCTGTTGTAAATTACATATTTATATACACATACTTATACTCAAATGATTATTTCCCTACCTCACATTAAATCAGATGTTCTTTATGCTATAAACAACCAAATGTGTGTTTCATAATAGCATTCTACATGAGGATGAACAATTAAAAATGTTAGAAAAGAAAACTAAGTTTAATATTTCAAAATGTGTGACCCATCTGTACGTAGACTGGGCATCCCATATAACCTGGCTGAGCCAATATAAAACAATCAGCCAAATAACTTTTCAATACATTATTGATTACTATTTTTGAGGTACTTTTAGGTTGGCAGTAAACACAAGTCAGAGGTAAATGGTGTACTTTGACTCCACTACATGTATTTAATACCTTTAGTTACTTTACAGATGTGGATGAATGATGTGAAATATAATCAAGTGTTAAATCAGACTTTAGTTCCACCTGGAGTAAATTCACAAGCTACTCTGTAGTATACAAAGTCATTCAAACTAGCTGCACCTTTGATAACACTTTGATGATCAATCATTATAAAACATATCATATACAATTATTAGGGATGCTCCGATCGCCAATTTTGGAGCCGATCGCCGGAATCAGTATCGGCCGATACCGATAGCGCTCTCTTTTCCTCTCTCCCCCTCTCTCTCTCTCCTGACAGCCCGTCAGTATCTCCTGCAGCTCACTGATCCAGTAATGAGCGACCCGACAGTGAAGAATAAATATATGTATAACTAGTTTAGCTTGTTCCAGAGGTAGATAAAATAGCTAAGTGTGTTAGGTCTAACTCTTAATGTGTGTTCTGCTCCGCTCACCGGTCCGTCACAGCGGGTGGAGCTGCAGGATTTCTGCTTCACACACACGTTGCATACCGCTATTTTATTGTCATTTTCGGACACTTAAAATACTGCCAGACTAGGGAAGCCATATTGGCGAGCTTGTTTTGCCGCGCACAGAGAAAAGTGTCATGTATT